GCGATCGGTAAGTACATGGGAGAGGGAGAGAGAGGGAGGGAGGGTAGTGGTTAATTTATTTTTTATTTTTATTTAATTATTTTTTATTTTTAACTTTAACTGAGTGCCTCAACCCCTCAAGTCACTCAGTACAGCAGAGCATCGGAAGCCTACTTGATGACTTCCGATGCACTGCCTCACTGCCGGACTCCACGTGGAGCAACCCGTTGTTCTCCGGTGGCCACCAACAGTGAGGGGGTATTGCAGCGATGTCTCAACATCGAGGCATCGCTTCAATACCATTAGAGCTGCTGGAAGTGATCATGCTCGCTTCCAGCGTTCTAATTCCCTGCGGATGTATCAGGTACGTCCGCGGTCCTTAAGTACCTTGTTTTGTCGGACGTACCTGATACGTCCTTGGTTGGGAAGCGGTTAAATAGAAAGAGCCTCCTAACATACAAAGGTAACAGAGTTAATAATGCGGAAAAGAGTTAAATTACGAAAGGGGTCCCTATTATTATAAATTTTAATGAAGATTCTAAATGCATTAAACACATAATTAACACGTATTGGCACATTCTACAGACAGACAAGGAGTTAAAGGGCTATTTGGGAGATAAACCAAATATAGTTTTAGGGGGCAAGAAATATGAAAAGCAGGATGGTAAAAAGTTTTATAAGGGATCCACCCAAACAAAATATGTTTAACCTATCTTAAGGTTTCTACCCCTGCAAAATGTGTACAGCCTGTAAAAGAACTAGTTTTAATAAGTGTAAACAGGTTGAATTAATTTCTAATGTCACAAAAATGAAATATAAAATGAAAAATGGTTTAAACTGTCATTCCACTAACCTGGTATACCTCCTCTGGTGGCCGTGTGGTTTGCAGTATGTAGGAATGACAACTAGAACCCTTAAAACACGCATGCTGGAACACATGGGCAATATCCAGAGGGGGTACGATAAACATAGTGTCTCGGCGCATTTTGCTAAAATGCACAATAGTGACCCAAGGGCAAAAAAAAAAAAAAAGGGTCGCAAGAGAATACAGAGAACGGGCAGCAGCTGAAATAGTCTGCCCTTCGGTGGGTCCCCGCTCAGTTCTCAAGCTGGTTTTTGCTCATCTTGTGCCATTACAGAGAGAACATCTCTGAAACATATCAGACTGGTCCCACCAATACGGGCAGTCCAGATCCGAAATGCCAGCAAGTTCCCTCTGCACAAGGTGTTTACATTTTATGCTTATTTTTAAGAAAAACCACAACTGGAGAGGGGAAGATAACTTCAAAGAACTGAGTAAGGTGGAAACCAGATTTTAATTAGACACATTAAATCCAAATGGTTTAAATTTGGACTTTGAATTTGCTAATTTTTTATAAACTCCTATTATTTAGAAATATCCATCTATTTTTAACTATTTTTTAAGGATCTTATAAAATATAATTTTTTTACTGTAATACCAACTTTTTATATATATTATATATATTTTCCATCCTGCTATGTTCTATATTACCTTTATTTGTAGTAATGTATTATGAATTTGTGTGCAATATTTGTCTAATTTTAAGAGTGTTATTTTATAATATTACTGCATATTATCAGCTTCTTAAGTTAAGTATTTATAAGCCCATAGAGTACTGTATAGTTAGTTTGCGGGAAGAATTGCAATATGGACATTTTGGACACTTCCTGTAAGAGAGATAAATGACCAACACGAACCCGGAAGTGATATCACATTGATGCCGGCTGGACGAACGTATGCAACCGGAAGTATTATGTGATCTGGAAGAGGACCGACAGGCAGGTGATTCAACTTTGGCAATCAATTATACATATAAAAGGAAGGATATTTACATCTATAAACATTGCACTGAAGAAGTCTTTCAAGTCGAAACGCATTTGCTGCACTGTTATATTAGGACTTTATTGCGGTAGTGTATATTAGTATTGTTTTTACACACTGATTATATCTATGTCCTGTTTTTAAATATAGATGTTTTTCAAATAAATACATTGGAATTATCCCTGCTTGCCTGCCTTGTCTGTGGACAATTATCCAAGCCAGTATTGACACCTTGAAGCTAACAATATAGAGCCTGGCATGGCTCTACACTTATTTTTTTATAGATTCTCATACCTTGTACCCTTACCAACAGCGGAACATTTTCTGTGTTATATACCGTAAAGTATATGTATACATTTTTATCCTCCTATTTTGACACTTGGGTGTTGTATATATTTAATAGTGGTTTTACCTCTATTTTTTTTACTAGTTTAATCCTAAAAAATATGTTATGCAGTTTGCAAGACACTTGATACTGAAGTACAGATTCACCTTCCTGCAGTAAAATGTCCTTTCACATACATCCACATCCACTATGTTGTGGTTTAAAACCAGGAAACTGAATATCTTGAATAGCCACGTCAAAGCCTAGAACTCATCCTCTCTATGAATTTGTGGAAATACTTAATAATTGCTTGTCGACAACAATCTCCATCCAACATGACGGAGCTTGGGCATGTAAAGGTCAAGTTGCAGGATCCAGATGTGAAAATCTGCTATAGATTTTTCTCAAAAGACCTTGATCTGTAATTGCAGTCATAGATAACTTTACCAATTATTACGTGAATACTGATGAAGCCAGTATATGTATATTAATGTCAGAGCATCTTATACGTCACCTGTTAGCATGATAAATGCTTGCTGGAGTAGTAGCACTGTGACAGAGAGCAGGATAAAAACCCAATAGGAGGGTTCTCCTGCTCTCCAATAAATTCTCACCTTAGACATGCATGTCAAAAAGGTCTGTGCCAAGAATTGATTGACAAGGGGGAGAAGAACCAAATTTTAGGAATTCATTAAATTATAATCTATACATTTGTAAGCATTTCTTCTAAGACATTTTACAGATAAAACTGCATTATCTGTAATATTAGCCTAAGCTTTGTGTACTATGACAGGTTCCTTAAAAAGTAGCATAGACCTTTATAAATTTCAGCCGGACTCCTACAGTTACTTTCCATTGCATGGATTAAGTGAAGCTTTTTCGATATTTATACTTCAGCGTTAGGAACCTGAAGTATTTATTAACTATCAACTGAATAGTTTTATGAATATAAATGTCAAGCTACAGTTCCAAGAACTGTGAATCCTAGCTAAGATAATTACTTTTATACTGCAATAAAATAAAAAGCACTTTTAAAACTCTGAAATGTCAGTGTATTTAAAACAAAACCTCCCTGCATTCTGGAGTGCATGTCTAGACACTTAAAATGCCTTTACTCACATAACATTAATTGCCGGACATTGAAAGGACTGTGAACTGCATGTTTAAACATTGAAACTCTATTCTATTAGTTTCAAGTACTTCCCATCAACAATATCTTCTCGTTGCCAGGGCAGACCTTATCTTGCTGGAGCATTTAAAGGGATGTTTGGTTATTAGCATAATATAATTCAAATTCTGATAGTTCTTTATGTATTCATTTCTATATTTATTATTTTTCCTCTTTTCGCATTTCTTAAGTAAAGAAAGGACTACTTTATCTTATGGTCCTTCTTTTTGTAGGTCTTTTAAGGCGTACTTTTATGTATTTATTTGTTTTATGTCTCAGACTATGTTCTATTTTAGTATTGATTTTTAAAAGAAGGGACCACCTTTACTATTCTATATTTTGGATGTCATATACTGTAAGACATTCTGTTTTCTTTGTGTATGTATATATATTTTTTTAATGCCTAATTGTATCTTCCATTTTGGTTTTGCTCTAACATTAGAAATGCAAACATCTATATCTAATCTGCCAGGGTTGAATTCAGGTACTTTATTTGTGATATTAGACATATTATGAACAGGATATCCTATAATATAAATTATAGGAAAGTGAAAGAGAGAGAGAGAAAACAGAACCGAATAATTGAGATTACAGGTAAGAATAACTAGGCTATGAAATAAAAGGACCCACCACTTATTCAGTAAGAATTTTTAACCACTTTTATACTAATAAAATTGAAGATACTATTCAATTAGGGGTCTTTTTGCCCTTCTACCTTATACCACACAGAATCGGTTTGACCATAGAGAAAGCTGCTATCAGCTTCCATCTATCTATTGTGGGATTTTCCCTCTCCTGTGGAGCCTTGCAAACCCAGAGCCAGGGGTTATAGGGCCCTGGTCCATGTGAGTTATTTCCCCCCACCCCTCCATATATACTGTGTATTGTACTATCTGCACTATATTTGTCTTTGCTTAATTACAGATTTACCATCTCCAGTACTAGCACTCTTTTTTTGGTAATATTGTTTATTTTCTTTAGTTTTGTATCACTGGGACACAGTTCAGCTGTACTGAGTTAGTGAATATTTTCTTAGTGCTTACTTATTATTGAATTGTTATGAAATAAAAGGGTTTAGACAATCAGACCAAAGTTGAAAATTGGTAAACCTATAACTTCTTTTATAGGTTTACCTATTTTCACATGGCCTTAACATTGAGAGGTGTTCTGCACCGGGCTCTTTCTAATACTTGTTTATAGTCTGATACTGACAAATACATCTGTTCCTGGCTCAAACTGATTCATGATAACCTGCTCAACTCTGATTTCATTTGATCCATCCTAATCCATCCAAACATCCTGCTTTAATTCAAAGTGGACTTTGTTTTCTAACTATTCGTTTTTTGCTTTGGATCTAACCTGCCTGGACTGTACTAACCATCCTATTAATTGCAACTCTCCCGGAAAACACTGATCCGCATATCTGGTAACTTCTGTACAAATCCTCCAAACTAAAGATACTGTTAACCTTAACTTAGAATTAACCCAAATTCCATTATCCTTTATTATGCTGTTTATTATTGTCTAATAATAATATGTTTACGTGATACCTATTATTTCACTGATAGGTAGTGATGTCCCGAACGGTTCGCCGAACGGTTCGCCACGGATGGCGAACATATGCGCTCTTCGGTCCGCCCCCTATTCGTCATCATTGAGTAAACTTTGACCCTGTATCTCACAGTCAGCAGACACATTCCAGCCAATCAGCAACAGACCCTCCCTCCCAGATCCTCCTACATCCTGGACAGCTCACTAAGAATGCAGCTTCACAATGAATGTAAAATGGATGCTGTCCAGGAAGTGGGAGGGTCTGGGAGGGAGGGTCTGCTGCTGATTGGCTGGAATGTGTCTGCTGACTGTGAGGTACAGGGTCAAAGTTTACTCAATGATGACATAGGGGGCGGACCGAACAGCGCATATGTTCGCCATCCGTGGCGAACCATTCGGCGAACCGTTCGGGACATCACTACTGATAGGTTTGGGGCATATTGCCTAAACTTCTAATTCTTCTACTACTACTCCTTCATACTTCTGTAATTCTGTTTCTAGGTTCTGCTTTCTCCTTTTATCTTTATTATTCCCTTTTCTCTTTTTATCCTTTTATTCTTTTGTTACCTTTGTCTAAACCATGTCTAATAACTCAAACAAACTACCTGAAGTCAAACCCAGGATAAGTCTCCTCTCTGACCTGCTCAGAATCATGACAACTCTCATCCCTTCTTGTACTGGTCTCACTGCAGCCACTTATCAGTCCAATGCATCAAACAAAGATTGGGGGGAACAATCTGCATCTTCTCATCTCCAATATACCAATGCATCTCACACTTATTGTCTTCATGCTGAGTGTGAGCATGCCAAATATCAGTCCTCCACAACTTTAAACAACTTTAGCTTAAAGGGACACTATAGGCATCAAACAAGTTAGCCTACTGTTTTTACTTTTGTTTCTATTTATGCAGCCATAGCCAAACCTCCCCTGGCCGTGACTGACATAGCCTTCACAAAACAAATGCTTTGATTTTCAGTCAGATGTTAACTTACTTTAGAAATGTTTAAATGTTTAACTCTGCTTCTATAAACTGCTATTTAATCACACACACGAGGCTCCTGCAGGTTCTAGAAGGTAATTAACAGAGCAGGAGATAAGAAACCTAAATTAAACAGAATGTGTGGTAAAGGAAGTTCAAACATTAAATCTCTCTTTACAGGAAGTGTTTAGGAAGTCTGTGTACATTTCATGCAGGGAGGTATACCTAGGGCTACATAAACAAAGCGATTTAAAATTCTAAATAGCAGGGAATTGATCAGCGAGACTGGAGGGGCATGATCAATACACCAAAACTGCTCTATTTAGCTAAGAGGCAGTCAGAGAGGCAGTCAGAGACACTAGTCAAGAGTGACGGGGAGAGATCAGGAGAGGACAGGTAGATTTGCGTGTCATCTGCATAGAAATGATATTGGAAGCCAAAGGAGCTAATGAGTTTACCAAGGGAGGCAGTATAGATGGAGAACAGTAGGGGACCAAGGACTGAACCTTGGGGGACACCAACAGAGAGGAGTTGGGGAGAAGAAGCAGAGCCAGAGAAAGAAACACTGAAAGAGCGCTGGGAGAGGTAGGAGGAGCACCAGGAGAGAGCAGTATCTTGTAGACCGATATTGCGGAGGATGAGAAGAAGCTGTTGATGATCAACAGTGTCAAAAGCCGCAGACAGGTCAAGGAGAATTAGGATAGAGTAGTGACCACAAGATTTTGCAGCGGGTAGATCATTGGATACTTTGGTCAGTGCCGTTTCCACAGAGTGCTTAGCGCGGAAACCAGACTGAAGCAGGTCTAGCAGAGAGTTGGACTCGAGGAAGTCTGTCAATCTCGCAGACACAATTTTTTCAAGGATCTTGGATGCAAAAGGCAGTAGCGAGATAGGACGATAGTTGGATGGGGAGTTAGGGTCAAGATTGGGCTTCTTTAGAATTGGGGTTACAGTTGCATGTTTGAAGGGCAATGGAAATATATCAGAGGAGAGAGAGAGATTGAGAATTTTAGTGAGAGGTGGAGAAAGAGAAGAAGACAGAGTACGGATGAGGTGTGAGGGAATTGGATCTAGGGAGCAGGTGGTGGGGTGGGAGGACTGGAGCAGAGCAGAAACTTCTTCCAATGTAGCGGGTGTGAATGAACATAGAACAGCAGAGGGAGTGAAGTTAAGGGAAGTATTGTAAGGGGAAGAAGAAAGATGAGATATCTCTTCTCTGATTGTAGAGATCTTGTCAGTGAAGTGAGTTGCAAAGTCTGAGGCGGTCAAGTTAGTAGGTGGAGGAGGAACAGCAGGGCGAAGAAGAGAGTTAAATGTGTGAAATAGTTGTTTGGGTTCACGGGAGAGTGTGGTTATGAGAGTATTGAAGTAATTAACTTTTGCAGAGGAAAGAGCCAAGCTGTATGAGCTCAGCATAAATTTATAGTGGAGAAAGTCAGATGCACAGTGAGACATTCTCCAACAGTGTTCAGCAGTTCTGGAGCATTTTTGGAGGTATCGAGTGAGCTTGGTGTGCCAGGGTTGTTGTTGGGGGGGCCTGCGGCATTTAAATGTACAAGGTGCCATGATGTCTAGTTGAGAGGAGAGGGTGGAATTGTAGAAGGAGATTGCAGAACTTGGACAGGTGAGGTTTGAGGTAAAAGGAGAGTTTGGAGATTAGTGGAGAAATGCTCTATGTCAAGACATTGGAGGTTTCTGTGAGAGTGATGTTCAGACGGTGGTGTCAATTGGGTCTTGGGTATGCCAATGTCAAAAGTCAGCAGATGGTGGTCAGATAGAGGAAAGGGAATATTGAGAGATTAGAGGCAGTACAGAGGTTGGTGAAGGCAAGATCAAGAGTGTTTCCTGCTGTATGGGTTGCTAGATTGGACCATTGCATAAGGCCAAAGGAGGAGGTTACAGAAAGCAGACGAGAGGCATCAGTGCAATTGGGGTTATTGATTGGGATATTGAAATCCCCAAGTATAAGGGAAGGAATGCTAGATGAAAGGAAGTGGGGAAGCCAAGAAGAAAAGTGCTCAATGAATAGTCTAGGATAACCGGGCGGGGCGGTAGATGATAGCAATTCTTAAAGGAGTGGGCTTAAATAGGCGGACAGTGTGAACTTCAAAAGAAGAAAAGGATAGGGCAGGGGGAGTTATGATTGGCTAAAAGGTACATTGAGGGGAGAGAAGGATGCTTACGCCGCCTCCTTTACAGTTGAGTCTGTATAGTCGTGATGGATTGTCGTGATGGATTGCACCTAATGGAAGAGGGTCTGCTATGCTTGGGGATAGGATGGCTAGAAGGTTGGAGGAGATTTTAAACTAGTAGTAGGGGCGTGAGGGTCAAAGCAATCTAGAAAATGGAGATAGGATGGAAAGGAGATGTTCTTTAGCTCAGAACAAAGGGGGTGGAGATGGGGAGGGGAAAGCTCAGAACAGAGGAGGTATGTAATATTGATAATTCACAAAAAGTACAAAACACTCATGATAATATTAAATGTATGCTTACTAATGCAAGGAGCCTATATAACAAAATGGGGGAACTAGAGGCAATAGCATACACTAAACAATATGATATAATAGGCATAACAGAAACATGGTGGGATGAGACACATGACTGGGCAGTTAATTTAAATGGGTACACATTATTTAGGAAGGATAGGAAAAACAAGAAGGGTGGTGGGGTATGTTTATATGTCAACCATGAGTTAATGTCAAATCTTAGGCATGTGGAGTGTGACGAGGAAAATGTGGATGCTTTTTGGGTAGATATCTGCTTGGGGCAAACAAAGGGAAATCAATTATTGGTTGGGATATGTTATAAACCATCTAATGTAAATATTATTGAGGAAGAACAGCTGTTAGAGCAAATTGGGAAAGCTGCAAATCGAGGTAACACGTTAATTATTGGAGATTTTAATTACCTGGATATAAATTGGGATAGAGGGACTAGTACTTCAGCAAGGAAAATCAGGTTTTTGAATGTGTTAAATGACACCTTTATGTCACAACTGGTACAACTAGAAAGGATGCTTGTCTGGATCTTGTTATAACAAACAATGTTGATCTTTTAACCAACATTCAAGTAGGGGAGCATTTGGGAAATAGTGATCACAATATGGTAATTTTTGAAATAAACTCAAAAAAGCAAAAGCACGTGGGGTATATTAAAACGCATAATTTTTAAAAAGCCAATTTTAATAAGATTAGGGCAGTTCTACACCATATCAACTGGCATAAACTCCTTAGTGATAAAAACACTGAGGATAAATGGAAACTATTCAAACAAATATTAGAAAGGTACATTTCTCACTATGTACCATTGGGTAATAAATATAAAAGAAACAAATTAAAACCAATGTGTCTTAGTAGAGAAGTAAAACAAGAGATTAAAAATAAGAAAAGGGCATTTAAAGCATTTAAATCAGACAAATCAGAGGCATCCTATTTAAGATATAAGGAAGCCAATAACGCTTGCAAAAAGGCAATTAAAGTGGCTAAACTAGAAAATGAGAAATTGATTGCCAAAGAATGCAAAACCAACCCCAAAAATGTTTTCAAGTACATCAATTCTAAAAAAACTAAAAATGTACACTGGAAACAGAGTTGGGTTTATTAACTAATGAAGACCAGGAAAAGCAGAAATTTTAAATAACTATTTTTCTTCAGTATATATTAATGAGGATCCTATGGCAAGAGATATGCAAATGATTGCTGCAAAAAACTTGCAGATAACTTGTGATTGGATAACTCGAGACAAGGTGCTACAGTTATTAAAGAAAATTAATGTAAATAAAGCTCCGGGGCCTGACGGTATTCACCCACGAGTACTTAAGGAGCTAAGTGGGGAAATAAGTGAACCTCTGTATTTAATTTTTCAACATTCTTTTGTTTAAGGTATTGTACCGGAGGATTGGAGGAAGGCAGATGTTCCTATATTTAAAGAGGGTTCAAAATCCATGCCTGGAAATTATTGACCTGTGAGCTTAACTTATATTTGAAGGGCTATTAAGGGATAATATTCAGGAATTCATTGGGAAGAACTTTGTTATTAGAAATAATCAGCATGGTTTTATGAAACATAGGTCATGTCAAACTAACCTAATTGCATTCTACGAAGAAGTAAGTAGAAGTATAGATCAGGGTGTTGCAGTGGATGTGATCTACTTGTATTTTGCCAAGGCATTTGATACGGTTCCTCACAATAGGTTAGTCTTCAAACTAAATGAAATTGGTCTAGATAAATATATTTGTGTTCTTGGGTAGAACATTGGCTTAAGGATAGAGTACAACGAGTTGCCATCAATGGTAAATTTTCAGGCTGGACAATTGATGAGCGAGAC